TCACTTGGAAAACAAGGCCAAGAACAGCTTGATGATGACCTCAAGTGAAGTCTTCCCAAGGGTCTTGCCTCAGCCGCGCAGCCCGTACCTTTGTAGTGTCCGTGTGCTTGTGCTGCAGCTGCTCCAGGTACAGCTCATTGACCTCGCCGAGGACCAGGAGCTGCCTGTTCAAGAACTCCATCTGCTGCTGCACTGACTCACTGTTGGAAAGCTTTAAAAGAAATTAAAAGGAATCAAAACACTGGAATGAATAGTCCAGCAGGAGAATCACTGTTGACCCGTACTGTGTTCACAGGGTATTTTTATAGAGAAGGGAGATGGAGATGAGAAGCTAATGCCTCAAAGGCAGTAGGTGGTAAACAAGTTAATTTCCTTAAAATCTGGGGCAGTCCATGCACAATTTCACCATGCAGCCCTTGCTTGCCTCAAACAAAACAACCATGTTCCACTAATGAAAGAAGTGCAAGGAATTTCTGACATTATCAAGAGCTCTAAAAGGCCAAAATCAAGCAGAGCTTTAATCCATGCCCGTATTTCTCAATCTACACATTCCTACTGGTGCCAAAAACAGAGAACAGTTTCAGAAACTTTTGAGCTGAGTTTAAAATCACTTCATAAAACAATTTAATTCTCTAAACATTTTCTCTTCTGAAACACAAAACACAGTCACAAAGGGACCCTGGGAACACTCATTTCTCTTACCTTTTGAGAAACTTGGCTAAGCAGCAGCTCTGTGTGACACACCTTGTTGTTGGCCTTCTTTAATTCCAACCTCAGGTCTGCAATCATATTCCGGCAGTCTTCCAGCTTAGTCTGTTCAAATAAAGGAGCCCAGTCAAGGTTCTGAAACTTTAATAAGGACCAGCACTGGCATATGCCTGGAGGCCATATCCACCCAGACTGTAAATCAAGTTATACTGAGCACATGCCAAAGTCCCCAAACCAGTTAAGAAACTGCATTTTCATATTTCCAAACTGAAGACAGTGCAAAATAGAACAGAACTATGAAAGTATGATGGCTGGTTCATTAGGTATTTCCAATAATGCACTGTCGTACTCTTAATTAGGACAAAATATCTGACGGAGATGCATTTATCATGGAGATCGGTTTAGCATAGCTTTCTCTAAGATATAACATACCACGTCATTCGGACAGTTATTTTTAAAACTTCAGTAAACAGATAACTTTGTTTAGTGCTCTGCTTCATACCTGCAATTCCTGGCTCTGGTTGTAGAATTCCTCCCGGTCATGTTGCAGCTGTCTGATCTGGCTGTGGAGCTGAGCCACTATATTTTCATGTTCCTCCTGAAATTGGTGGTATCTTGCCTGTTCTTTCTGCAGACTTAGTTTCAAGGCCTGAATTTCTTTCTCCTGTAGTTTCAGCTGATCTTTCTGTCAAGAATCCCAAATGAAGCATCAGCCAAGATAAATTCAGCATCAGTGAGAATATGTATCCTAAGCTACTAGCTATGTAAAGCAGTAATATCAATTAATAGCACACAGGCTTGATATTTTTCCATACACAGAATATTCAATATAAAGAACGTGCTTAAGGGTTGGGAGGGTGCTTCAAGCAACACAACAAGGGGTCTAGACAGGTATTAAGCAACAACTTCCCTAACTGTGAAATGTTAATATTCTCCAAAGGAAAGTGCCAGCAGTGGTTAGGCACGAAGGCATCTAGCCATTCAGTGGTGTATAATCAAGTAGAGCCTCCTGGCTTTAGTAATCACATGTGCCTACCTAATCCACCAAAACTGACTTGAGTAAAGGCTTCTCTTTTTAACTGAGTGGTACTGAAATATACTGGTCAAACCAATTAACACTTGTTCCAACAGCAAGGTGCTCAAGTTCCTGCTGGATTTCTAGCCCTGCTTACCATGGCAGCGTTGTGTTCCTCCAGGGCGGTCGCTTTGATCACTTTGCGCAGGAGGCGCCGGTTCCGCAGCGCGTGCTGTTGTCTCTTGAAGCGCTCGTACAACAGCTGGTTGTGCAGCAAAAGCAGTTGGTTACGCAGGGTGTGAATCTCATCCGAAGGGGGAGAACCTAGATGGAGGTGAGAAGACGGAAGACAGACTGAATTGTGCTATCCCCATTTCACATACAGAAAAGGTTTTCTAAAATAAATCTATTTATTTTAAATTATAATCATAAAAATCTGTTTGTTCCAGTTGATCTGTAACACAAAGCTTTAAGCATTCTTCCCCAGAGGAACCCCCAAAAAAATCTGCTTAGCCAGAAGTCTGCTGCAAAGTGGTAGTGTAGACAAGACTACATTCTTCACACTCAAGTTTCAATCGTATGTTTACTCCAACAGGTTACGCAATCTCCACAAGTTAAAAATGCTTTCAGTCACTGAAACTAAAGTAACTCCTTTCTCCTGTACGTATACACGTTGACTTGCTTAGTCCTGCTATTAAAAAAGGAGAGGCCAAGTTCACCATCACCATAGAAGTCTAAAAGCACAGAGTTATGACAGCCATGTCACGCAGAAAGAAAAATAACTATCAGTTTTAACCTTAGTCCTGCTATTAAGAAAGGAAAGGCCAAGTTCACCATCACCATGAAAGCCTAAAAGCACAGAGTTGACAGCCATGTCACACAGAAAGAAAAATAACTATCAGTTTTAAGTATATCAGAACAGAAAGCTTTGTTGCAGGATCAGCATCCTCCTCAAGGCTAACAGATATTCAAGTGGTCAAAAAGCAGAAGCCTCTAGAATTTCAGGGAGTTCAGTTTTCATTTTTCAGAGACAAAGAAAAAAAGAAAAGCTTGTTGCACTGGCATGTAGGTGCCTATCCACTGAGCAAATAAACCATGACAATGCAGGGCACCATCTCTCTGCAGCATTAGTAAAAAAGTGACAGTAATTTTTTAAGCAAGTATAATAATGAGAGGAACTAAAACATGTAAGAGAAATTTCCTTACCTCCAAAGTGAGTCCAGTCAGCAGATTTGCTTGGCAGAGACAGTCTGAAAATGAAAATGCAGTATTAGCCAGTGTGTTTAAACATGCAAGTGCTCTGTTTTCACTTAAAAATGGGAACCCCATCTCAAAAGTGATTATAGTCTAATAAAAGAGCAATTATGGCCAGTTGGTATGAAGGCAACAACAAGGAGGAATCTTGCAAGGAGGTGGATTGCAAAGGCTGATGGTGCAGGACATGATTTCTTATAGGCTACAGAGGAAAAATTCTCTTGAGCATAGAAAACAATGTAAGGCAAAGCTGAATACAGGATAATGAGATAAAAAGAAAAGCAGCAGATGAACACACAACCCTCAAATCTGGTTGCTGTTTCTTAGCTTCCCTTACAACAAAAAGAA